CAGACAATTATTTAGCCATTCTTCTTTATTTATCATGATAGTTAGACTGACAACACTTTGTTATAAATAGTGACTTTAACCCACTTCCCCCAATAAAAATTCATGTAATCGATAGGTTATACCTCCTTAAATTTAAATTGAAATTTAAACTTAAATTTTCAGTGCAGGCGTTCATTAAAAAATATTTTTACAAAGTCGCAAAGTCCAAATGTAGACTTCAAAGCTAAGTATGCATGAAAGTTTGATATGTTTGATGTCAAAGAACATACCGTATTAATTTCTCGAACGGTCTATAACATGGTCATTTCAGGCCAAAAATAAATAAACAAATTAGTGAACAAATAAACGTACAAATAAACCTCACTTTACAGCAAAGGACTTTCTCTTCTTTAGTGAACAAAATTATCTAAAATCTATAATGGTTATTATCGAATATTTCAATTTAATTTTGTTTGGTATTTCAAATTAAAACAAAATGTGTTTGTGAAACACTGATGTCCCTGTATGGCAGCTTTTGACAATGGTTAAAGTTTCTCAAATGCAACTCAAACTCAAATATTAAGGACATACGCAACGTACTTTACCTACTGATAATTTTTAAAGATATTCTTAATTTAAGATTATATAGTGCCATCAGATGTTCGTAGACAAAAAATCAGCATGCATTACCAGGGGTTTTGAAAAGATATCAATTGATGAAAATTCTTGTATAATTCAAAGAAAAATATACAAAAATTATTAAACATATATTCTAGATGTTTTGTTTATCCAAATTTATTTTAGAAGAAGTGTACAACAGCATATATAGACATTAAAATGTAGCAAACAGTTCCTTTAAGTATTTGAAATCCTCAACTCCAGGGAAAAAGACAATAAAGTTCAAACTACGTTGCGTATGTCCTTAATAGCTGAAAAATGTTGTTACCCAAAGAAAGGACTCTCAGTGAATATATCTGAGAAATAAGAAATCCCAGGCACTAACCATTCAAAAGGTTTAGCTCAGGTTAAAGTTTTTTAAATGTGGGTCAAACTGCAAGGTCAAGGTCAAAGGGTCAAATTAAAGGTACCCAGGGTAAGGCTTTGTCATAAGAAATACACATGTAAAACATTAAAGAATTAGCACCAACTGTTCAAAATATATGGCCAAGATTAAAGTTTTTCAAAAGTATGTCTTATTCCAAGATAAAGGTCAAAATTTCAAATATGTCGGAACCCAAAGAAAGGATTTGTCACAAGGAATACACATGTGGAAAATAATAGCCCTGATACTAATTTCTCAAGGTTAAAATTTTTAAAAGTTGGTAAAACTCAAAGGTCAAGATCAATTTTTTTAATATCCGTTCAAAGGTCTTGCTACTATGAATACACATACTAGTATAAAGTATGAAAGCCCTTGCACCAACTGTTGAAAAGTTATAGCCAAGGTTAAAGTTTGGTAAATTCTTGAAAAAGTGGGAAAAACTCAAAGATCAAGGTCAAAAAAGTCAAATATGTTAGAACCCAAACAAAGGCCTTATCACAAGGAATGCACATGTGAAATATGAAAGCCATAGGTCCAACCAATCAAAAGTAATGGGCACGTTTTTGCGGACAAACAAACAGGTGATGGGTATACAGACCCTGGTGATAGATGTACAGCTCTAGTGATAGATAATAGAGACCCTAGTGATAGATAATATAGACCCTGGTGATAAGTATACAGACCCTTTTAATAGATAATACCGACCTTGGTTATAGAAATACAGACGCTGGTAATAGACATACGGACCCTGGTAATAGGTCCACAGTCTCTGGTGATAGGTATACACACCCTGGTGATGGGTACATACAGACCCTAATGACAGATAATACACACCCTTGACATAGATTTACAGATTAAGACCCTGTTCATAGATACCCAAACCCTGGTGATGGGTATACAGACCCTGGTGATGGGTATACAGACACTGGTGATAGATAATACAGACCCTGATGATAGTTATACAGAACCTGGTGATAAGTAAACAGACCCTGGTGATGGGTATACAGACCCTGGAGATAGGTATACAGACTCTGGTCATTGGTATGCAGACCCTGGTGATAGGTATATAGATCCTGGTGATAGATAATACAGACCCTGGTGATAGGTATAAAGACCCTGGTGATAGGTATAAGGACACTGGTGATAGGTATATAGACCCTGGTGATAGGTAATACTGACCCTGGTGATAGGTATACAGACCCTGGTGATGGGTATACAGACCCTGGTGATAGATAATACAGACCCTGGTGATAGGTATACAGACCCTGGTGATGGGTATATAGACCCTGGTGATAGGTTTATAGACCCTGGTGATAGATAATACAGACCCTGGTGATGGGTATATAGACTCTGGTGATAGGTATACAGACCCTGGTGATAGGTATACAGACCCTGGTGATGGGTATAAAGACCCTGGTGATAGATAATACAGACCCTGGTGATAGATAATACAGTCCCTGGTGATGGATATACAGACCCTGGTGATAGATAATACAGACCCTGGTGATAGGTATACAGACCCTGGTGATGGGTATATAAACCCTGGTGATAGGTTTATAGACCCTGGTGATGGGTATACAGACCCTGGTGATGGGTATACAGACCTTGGTGATAGATAATACAGACCCTGGTGATAGGTATAAAGACCCTGGTGATAGGTATAAGGACACTGGTGATAGGTATATAGACCCTGGTGATAGGTAATACTGACCCTGGTGATAGGTATAAAGACCCTGGTGATAGGTATAAGGACACTGGTGATAGGTATATAGACCCTGGTGATAGGTAATACTGACCCTGGTGATAGGTATACAGACCCTGGTGATGGGTATACAGACCCTGGTGATAGGTATAAAGACCCTGGTGATGGGTATACAAACCCTGGTGATGGGTGTACAGACCCTGGTGATAGGTACATAGACCCTGGTGATAAGTATACAGACCCTGGTGATGGGTATACAGACCCTGGTGATGGGTATATAGACCCTGGTGATAGATAAAACGGACCCTGGTGATGGGTATACAGACCCTGGTGATGGGTATACAGACCCTGGTGATAGGTATATAGACCCTGGTGATGGATATACAGACCCTGGTGATAGATAATACAGTCCCTGGTGATGGATATACAGACCCTGGTGATGGGTATACAGACCCTGGTGATAGATAATACAGACCCTGGTGATAGGTATACAGACCCTGGTGATGGGTATATAGACCCTGGTGATAGGTTTATAGACCCTGGTGATAGATAATACAGACCCTGGTGATGGGTATATAGACTCTGGTGATAGGTATACAGACCCTGGTGATGGGTATACAGACCCTGGTGATGGGTATATAGACCCTGGTGATAGATAATACAGACCCTGGTGATAGATAATACAGTCCCTGGTGATGGATATACAGACCCTGGTGATGGGTATACAGACCCTGGTGATAGATAATACAGACCCTGGTGATAGGTATACAGACCCTGGTGATGGGTATATAAACCCTGGTGATAGGTTTATAGACCCTGGTGATGGGTATACAGACCCTGGTGATGGGTATATAGACCCTGGTGATAGATAATACAGACCTTGTTGATGGGTATATAGACTCTGGTGATGGGCATACACACCCTTGTGATAGGTATACAGACCCTGGTGATAGGTATATAGACCCTGGTGATAGCTATACAGTTCCTGGTGATAGATAATACAGTCCCTGGTGATGGATATACAGACCCTGGTGATAGGTATACAGACCCTGGTGATAGATAATACAGACCCTGGTGATAGGTATACAGACCCTGGTGATGGGTAAAAAGACCCTGGTGATGGGTATACAGGACCTGGTGATGGGTATACAGACCCTGGTGCTAGGTATACAGACCCTGGTGATGGGTATACAGACCTTGGTGATAGGTATACAGACTCTGGTCATTGGTATGCAGACCCTGGTGATAGGTATATAGACCCTGGTGATAGATAATACAGACCCTGGTGATAGGTATACAGACCCTGGTGATGGGTATACAAACCCTGGTGATGGGTATATAAACCCTGGTGATAGGTTTATAGACCCTGGTGATAGGTATACAGACCCTGGTGATAGGTATACAGACCCTGGTGATAGGTATACAGACCCTGGTGATAGGTATATAGACCCTGGTGATGGTATACAAACTATGGCAATACATAAACAGACCCTGGTAATAAGTATACAAACCCTGTAAAAAATGATTAATTTATAAAAGAAATATATGATAAATGCATAAATAAATCAATAAATAAATGCAAAAATAAATCAATCAATCAATAAAGAAATAAAAAAAAAGAAATAAATAAAAATACGAATAAATGAATGCATAAATAAATAGATAAATAATAAATAAATAAATAAATAGAATACGAAATAAATGAAGGAATGAATATAATAAATAGATAAACAAACAAATAAATGAACTTCTTAATGAATTAATCAATTACTTAATTATGAGAATAATAAATAAATAAATAAATAAACAAACATGCATACAAATTAATAAATCAATGAATTAATTAATAGATAATTAATTAATGGATGGAATAATTAATAAATGAAGGAAAGAATGTTATAAATGAATTTAAAAAAAAATACAAATATATATTTTTCAATAAATTAATCAGTTACTTAGTTAATTAATTATAAGAATGATAAATAAATAAATTAAATAAATAAATAAATAAATTAATAATTAAATAAATAAATAAATAAAAACTAACTGTAAAGTTGATTCATTTATTCTTCTGCTTTTTTAAATAAAAGTTGATCGAATTATGCAAAAATTTCTGCATCTGACTATAGTATCATTCCGCATTACTAGTTTCCATTATATATTCCGAATTTCCTCTCTGCTGTTTTCCGATCTCGATGGAAATTTATTTCACGCATGCGCTCTGCCTGGTTATAGAGGCTGGTTACGAGATCTAAAACAGCATACATATTATACCTCAAATTCAGAGGCGAGTCCATCCGAGTTGAATGGCTGAAAAACAAATCGGAAGATAAGTACACTCGATAAAATCCAATCCGTCTAGGATTAAACTTGAATTTTCCGGAATGTCATAACCACTAAAATATGAAAAAGTTTACCCCCACTTTATTGCCCGCGTGACACAGTGGTTAGAGCGTATGCTCTAAGAGTCGCAGAGTAAGGTTTTGACCTTAACGTCGCGGGTTCGAATCCCACTTTGGGATATTCTCTGTTGAGAAGTTGATGGCTCGTATTAATACTCCCCCTCAACGGGGGGTATTAAAACGAGCCATCATCAATATAGGTGCTGGCACGAAATAAATCCCTCTGTGCTCAATGGCCCTAAGTGCAGAGGGTAAAAATTTGCAGCTCTCCATCGGCAAGTAGTGGCGTCTCCATATGAGTGAAAAATTCTCGAGAGGGACGTAGACAACAAACACCCCCCCCACACACTTTATTGATTTCTATTAGGCCAAATAAAAAAAATATGTGTGGTTCCGGTTACCCGACCTTCCCTATTTTATACCCCCGACCCTAAACTTTTTTTTGGCAATTTTCATATTTTTTCCGGATTTCGATTTCCATCAATGGCTCCAGTTTAAGTTTTAGTTTCAGCAATGACGGCCTCCTTGCAAAACATATATTGCAAGTGTTTAATAGTGTTAAATCCAAAGCAAGCTAGCATATAGGTGTCCCCTACCAATATTGACTAGTTTATTATCACACCATATCTAAATGCCATTTGCAAAGCAGTGATAGGTATTATTTAGAAAAAAAATTAAGAAAATCATTTTGTTAAAAAAAAAAAAAAATCCGTACCTACCTACCCTAATTTTTTTGGAAGTGTAACCGGAACCACACATATTTTTTTGTTTGGCCTTAGGATGTAATATAAAAATCTCCGACTCGCCATGCTATTCCCCTAATAAATTGATTTTTGCGTTTGATTTTCTAGGTACCTGCATAATTAGAACCTGTGAATTTTTTGCTGACAATTTATACTTTTTTTTCTATTTAAAAGCAGATTTATTTATACATCTTCCATGTCTTCGCTAGCAGCCAAGTGTTTAATTTCAGAGAGATTCGTCGAGACTAAAATTTTTGGACAGACGTCTATTACGTAAGAGACGTGTGTCCAAAATTTTTCTTGAATCTCGCTGAGATTACCAAGTGTTTAGAACATAGATGTATCTGCTGAACATAAACACTTGCTTTTAAAATATGTGGAACCTAACGAGAAGTCCCTGATAAATGCATGCAAGAATTATCATGTCACCGCTCACACATCCGTTAAGACAAACACACAGTCATACACACACACTCACCTATTCCTCATAAATGTACAAGTATAAACATCTTTCATCTTTACCTCATTTATATCCTTCCAAGCGCTCTACACTTTGAAGTGGAAGTCTTTCGAATGAGACCTTAAAAACCAAGGCCCCGTCTCACGACAGGCGTTGTTGGCACGATAGAGATCCCTCACTGCTCAATGACCCCCAGTGTCGAAAAAAGTAAGTGCCGAATAAAGGTCTAAATTTGAAGCCCTTCACCGGTATATGGTGACGTCTCTATATGATAGAAAAATTCTCGAATGAGACGTAAAGCAACATTTATATCATTATGATGATTATGTAGTTATCATATCAATTGATCTTTGTACATTCTTGAGCTGTGCCTAGCAATTCTTACTTATTCTTGGACAGGTCACATTCTAAAACTAACTAGGGTCAGCCGACAGGTTCCTAAATAATACATAATTTTTCCCATGAATTTGTCAGTGATTTACTGTAACTTTAACAGGTTTCCTCGCAAAAAATTGAGTAATTTGCTAGGCATTTGTGCAAAATATTATAATAGGGTGGTGTTTCCTATAAAATCCTAATTGAAATCACATGAATTGACAATATCTTATTTTTTCTTGTATTTATTTTCTTAGACAATTTAGAAATCACAGATAATGTTAATATTATGAATATTTCTTATATATTACAAGGAGAGACAAAACAGATATTTGAGGAACGTGTCATCAAACATTAAATAGGCAACCGGCTATATACAGACAAAATGTAAAATGTGCGGAAATTTAATACCACGGAAACCAATCACGAATTTGCTTTTTCCGCACGCTAGATTTTTCCAAGAAATTTTGCAGAATTAGCTATTTATAGAAAACCTTGGCTGGAAATGGAGTTTGAGCAATTTTCATACATTCAGTATTGACATGCATATCCCTTAAAAAAATATTTAAAGATTTTGTTTGTAAACGTCCTCTATCTGCATCCCAACTCTTTCCCGCTTTTTTAATATAAACCTAAATTGTACATTTTAGCCACGCTAAAATATAATGTACGTATGCACGACAAAGAATTATTCAGAAGGCAGAGAGAGAGGCAATTTTGGATAGGAAGACAACCCCCAATTTATATTGGTAAGTAATCGATGTGCAAAGAAACGCAACTCTTAATTTATCAGACTTTATTTCATATTTTACTGAGTGATTTCATTCTTATTAAGTTTATTCGGATGCTCCTGCAGTGGCGGATTTAAGGCGCACCTTAAAATTGTCAAAGTAAGCGTAATTCATAGTTTCGTCTAGAAAATGTAAAAATGTCTACTCGGTATAGACATCATTTTTACACTACAAAATCTCTAGAATCCAGGAGCTTCAGGGGCCTTCGCCCTCTGGGCCCCCACCCCCTGCCTACATTTTGCGCCCCTAACTTCAATCCTGGATCCGCACCTGTTCTGAATGTATTTTACTTGATTGTATTGAAATTCAACCAAATTTAATGCATGCTTATTTTGTTGAAAATATATAATTCATTTTTGTCTTATCATTAACTACTCCTTATCAGCTTACAAATGAGCAAGGACCGTACATCGTGTACGATATATAGTTTGTAGATTTATTACCTTTGAACAAAAATTGAAGAAAAATAATTTAACTTTATAAATCCCCCCCCCCCTCAAATCTTATTTTCAGACACTCAACGATTAAGACAAGGATTTATTTAATTATGGCAGTTGTGTGGTCGTGGGGTTGAGGTGTTTGCCTTCCAAAAAGGGGGGTTGTCTTTGGAGCGGAGGATCGCGACTTCAAGTACCAATTACGGTGTTAGGATTTTTTTTCATAAATAGTAGTATTTTACATAGAAAAATGGTTAATGAAAGAGAGTTTAAAGACGGTGTAAAGACTGTTTCAAGGTTTCTGAAATCAGATTATTTTCATTTTTATATATCAAAAAACAAAACAAAAAAAAAAAAAAAAACAAGAAACAGATATGATCTATTCAAAATTAAAGGCGTCGCGACCTGGCGCAATCCAGGGGTCAATTTTCAACGTCAGAAACGTCATGAACGTTTTAACGTTTACTCTCTGAAATATTCCCTGTTCTCTTGGATAGATCAACCACATACACTGGACTAAAATAGTTTTAAACCACTCTAGGCCATAGATTGGAATGATATCTTTTACTTCTATTTTAAGTTCACTAGTATTGCTATACACTTCATCGGTCAAAATCGCAAGTTTTGTGGATAAACAGACATCATTTTAGCCGTCACAACCTTACTGTTCGCCCATCCCTCCATGAACTGCGTTTGTCACTTCAATGCTAAAGATTTGTACAAAGTTTTTTGAGATCGGCTTCGGCCGATAAGAGTAACTGTTGTTTCTATATATGGGAAAAGATTACTAATCATTTTCCCATAGAACTCTATACAAACCTTTTGCCCTCTCAGTACTCTACTAATTTAATTTCAGACAATCCTTGGAATCACTTGAAACTTCATTCTAATCGCTTATAAAAAAAGCCCGAAAAAATATAGGGTCCTCTGGGGTTTAAAGGTCAAAATTGCAGTTGTTTACAACTTAATAGCGATCGACAGTATATGACACTCTGCCAAAAATATCAACCTTAATTCCTTCAATCTCCCCTGGTATTTCTACATTTTCTGTAATATTCCAATATTCTATCATTTATTTCAAACATTAATATTTTTACTTTAAAAGGAAATTAATAACATACCTGAATTCAGGCAATCGGGCAACATTATGAGGCGCCGTTTTGGTATTAACTGCTAAAAAGTGATATCAACTATTCGAATAGGTGATATCATCTATTCAATTGGTGATATCACCTATTCAAATAAGTGATATCACCTATTCAGCTTCTGAATAGGTGATATCACCTATTTAAATAGGTGATATCACCTATTCGAATGAGTGATATCACCTATTCGAGTAGGTGATATCACTTTTTGATTTGAATTGTCGATATCACCTATTCGAATAAGTGATATCATTAATTCGAATAGGTGATATCAGCTATTTAAATAAGTGATATCACCTATTCCTTTTGAATAGGTGATATCACTTATTCGAATAGATGATATCACCTATTCAAATTAAATAAGTGATGTCACCAATTGAAATAGGTGATATCACCTATTCGAATAGGTGATATCACCTAATAATTTTGAATAGGTGATATCACTTATTAAAATAGGTGATATCACCTATTCAAATTATTTATGAAAAAACAACTGCTCCCAGGTCTATAGTCTTTAAGTCTCATTTACTTTCACTTTCATAATATAAGGAACACGTCTTCACCATTGTGACGTAATGACAGCCAAGTCTGTTCAGTTAGGACTGTGTCAGATTATTCACTTTGAGTGGTTATATAATATAACTATTATGGACTTAAGTGAACGGTGAATATGTGGTTATAAGGACCCATGTCAAGTGATATTGACCCCAGAGACAGAAAATGATAGCGATCTCGCAAGCTCGGTCTCTATCACTTTCTGTGTCAATATCACTTGAAATGGGTTCTTATAACCACATATCGACCTACCCTGAAGTTCATAATTGTATAATATTAATTACACTTATCTATCACAAATACTATAGGTAAAATTGTGAAAAAAGCATAATAACTGTTCCATACGGAAAATGCCCCCACTAAACATTATAAAGAGAGAAAGGTATGCCACTCTGTAGTGCCCCAGCTGCGTATAATTTATAAAATTTGAATAACTTTAGAGGGATCAATAACTTAAGGTATTTAAAATGTCTCGGACTAAAACACAGGAGAAAACCGGACTGCCCAAATTTGCTTGGTTCCAATGGAATTCTAGATAGTCTTGAGGAAGGGAGTATTCATTATTTATTGTTGTAAGAAATGCAAATAGGTGATATCACCTATTCGAATTGGTGATATCACTATTTCAAATTGAATAGGAGATTTCACCTATTCGAATAGGTGATATCACTTTTTCGAATACGTGATATCACCTATTCAACACGATTAGGTAATATCACCTATTTGAATAGTTGATATCAACTATTCATTTCCAATAGGTGATATCACCAATTCAAAAAGGTGATATCACGTATTCGTACAAGTGATATCACCTATCCAAATAGGTGATATCATCTATTCAATTTGAATTAGTGATATCACTTATTCGAATAGTTAATATCACCTATTCGAATAGGTGATATCTGTAAATGGCAATGGATACCAAAACGGCGCATCATACAACACACACTATTCAGTACTCTATACTACTTTCAATAACAAACAAAGCCACGTGAACATCCGGGGATTTGGTACTCTCATTCCTATATGAGACATCTGGTAAAAGAGTATTAGTGCCATGCAAATTTTTTTAGGTCACTCAGGTGACCTATTGCTATCCGTTTTCGTCCGTCGTCGTGCGTTGTACGTTAACATTTGAGCATTTTTAGCTTCTTCTCTGAATCCGCTCAACCAATTTCACCCAAATTTGGCATATAGCATGTATGGGTGAGGGGGAACAAAAATTTTGAATTTCATGGTCCTGAGGGGTGGGGCTAAAACCACCAAAATTAATGCAATCTTTAAAAATCTTCTTTTTTACTCCTGGACATCAAGCAGTCAAACTGTTGGCATGATTGTAATAAGTATTGAGCTCTCTATCAAAATTGTGAAATTCATGGCCACAGGGTCAGGGGTTCTGTTACTAGGGTGGGGCTATATAGATCATATAGTGAAAGTGCATTACTTCTTTGAAAACCTTCTTCACTGCTCCTGGGTATTAAACAAACTAAGTACATGATGAAGAGCAGGAGTGCCTCTTCCAAAAATGTGAATTTCATGGCCCCAGGGTCAGGGGTTCTGGTAGGGCGCTATTGATTACATAAAGAAAACGCTCTATTGATTACATAGTGAAAATGGATATACATGTATATTGATTATATAGTGAAAATGCTCTATTGATTATACATGTATAGTGAAATTGCATTAATTCTTTGAAAATCTTTTTCTCTGCTCCTGGGTATTAAATAAACTAACTTAGAACATAGCTATGGTGAGCATGGCTGCATTTTCAGAAATTGTGAATTTCATAGCCCCTGGGTTAGGGGTTCTGTTGTAACGGCGGGGCTCTATTGATGATATAGTAAAATTGCATTAATTCTTTGAAAATATTCTTCTCTGTTCCTGGGTATTAAATAAACTAACTTAGTGCATAGATATGACGAGCATTGTTGCCTCTTCCAAAATTGTGAATTTCATGGCCTCTGGGTCAGGGGTTCTGGTGTTAGGGCGGGGCTATATTGATGTATATAGTGAAAATTGTTTATTCTTTTAAAATCTTTTTCTCTGCTCCTGAATAATAAACTAAGTACATAGTTATGTTGAGCATGGCTGCCTCCTCAGAAATCATGAATTCATGGCCCCTGTTTCAGGGGTGCTTGTGTTAGGGCGGAGCTCTATTGATTATATAGGGAGAATGCATAAATTCTTTCAAAATCTTCTTCTCTGCTATTTGGTATTTTTCAAACAAATGAAGTGCATGGTTATGATGAGGAAGAATGATTCTTCCAAAATTGTGAAATTCATGGCCCCAGGGTCAGGGGTTCTTGTGAAGGGGGGGGGGGGGCTCTATTGAATATATAGTGAAAATGCATAATTTCTTTCAAAATATTTTTTTCTACTACTGGTTATAAAGCAAAGAAACAAGTGTATAGTTATGATGAGCAAGGGTGCTTCTTCCAGAATTGTGAGTTCTTGACCCATGGGTCAGATGTTTTGGTGTAAGGATTGGGCTTTATTTAATAATATAGTGAAAATGCATTTGTTTAAAAATCTTCCTCTATGCTTCTGGGCATATCCGAGGCAAACAGTAAAAGTTTTTATATGCAAGGGTATTTTTACCAGAATTTTGATTACCTGGACCATTTAGTCAAGTGTTCTGGTCCTGGCCAAGGCTCTATTAACTTGTATTCTGCTGAGCAAAGTTATTCCCATTTGCCATTCACCTTTGATACTTAATCACTGTAAATAATATATTTGAAAGGTTAATAGAATAAATTATGCAAGAATATCTACTGAACAACAAAAAGGAAGAATTGGAAATAATAGTTGAATAATAATGAGACAAAAATAACTTATCTTTTTAAATGTTTTTCAAAGGCCAAGAGAGGCCAATGTGAGAAGAAAATATATGGGGTTACAAAATAGATCTGTATGGTAATATTGATAAATGGGGGACAGATAGATATTAGACCAATTATTTTGTTGATGTTAATCATACTATTTTTCTTGCTTTTGGGCAACAAAGCTTCATTTATCAGTTTATGGATCCTCTAAATTGTTGTATTGTACTCAGGTGACCGTTAAGGCCCTTAATTGGGCCTCTTGTTGAAGTTGTTAATTCAAACTTAAAAGTTGGCTTTTTCAACTTTAATCTTGAGTTTTCCAACTTTTAAGTTGGTAATATCAACTTTAATCTTGGCTTTTCCAACTTTAGATTTGGTAATTCGAAATCCAACTTTAAACTTGGATTTTGTAATATTTCTTGTTTTTTATACAATTATAAAATAAATGTATTTTATGAAAATACATTGGAAATTATTCCTTCTTTCATCATTATTTATTTTCATTTTATTATAAACAGCAACGTCAGGCCAATTAACTATAGATATACGAATAAAACGTATGAAACCCGAAAAAGTTGGATAATCCAACTTTAACTTGAAGTTGGAAAAGCCAAGATTCAAGTTGGAAAAGCCAAGATTCAACTTTGAATTACCAACTTTAAAATTGGAAATGCCAAGATTAAAGTTAGAAAAGCAACTCCAAGATTAAAGTTAAAAAAGCAACTCTTTTAAGTTGAATTACCAGTTTTAGAGTTGGAAAAGCCAACTCTAATGTTGGTATTTCCAACTTTAAAAGTTGGCTTTTCCAACTTTTCAGTTGGAATTACCAACGTTAAGTTGGAATTTCAAACTTAAAAAAATATTACGTGCCACTAATACGCTTCGTATATGCGCAGGAATTTCATTTACTTTCGAAATGAAAGTACCTCCTTTCATTTAAAGTTTATCTTTCATCTGTGTTTAGAGGAAATCGGAAGTCGAACTCGTGCATTATTTTTTTTTTCATTTAGGTAATTGGCTGTTCTGTGCTTTCTGTGCAGTTACGTAAGCAACAAGTTTGACAACTGAAAATTACACTCTCTGATCACTTCTTTTAAAAGGAATACCTGTTCTTCCTTTGCTGCACTTAACAGATTTAACGTATCTGTTGCCAGATGAGCATAACGGCATTTACCCAATGTTGGTCCAACAATGTTGGTTACGTTGGCCCAATTTTGGCAAATTAAGTTAGCCCAATGTTGGACCTATGCTGGTACAACGTTGTTTGCTTGTATGTCAACGTTGGCATAACGTTATTCCAACATACCAACATTATGCCAACTCAATATTTTGTAATGTTTGCCCAACGCTGGACCATAGTTCAAAATATAATTATTAGTTGGTCCAACGATGGTACAACGTCACCACAGTCAATCAAAGTGTACGCAAACATTATTATGTAAAAATTTACATCGTCTACCTGAAAAGTACTGGGAGCTAGTTTGTGCTGTTTTGGAAGTACTGGTAATTTTGCCGATAATGCGTATCAAAGCTAGGAATTCCTACTTCGCTTTACATGCAACTCTACAATTGAACTATTTGCCTTGCCTAATATGTCAATAATTGCATGCATTTACGTCAAATGACCTTTGATAAATATTTCGAAATTGTAACTTCTGTGATGGAAGTACAACTAGACAGATGTTATTCAACATATGTCAAGGGGCAGGGTAATTGACGTGGATGAAATGTCACATGAAATAAATTGCTAGACAGTGAATTTGGTGGAAAAATAAGCAACAGATTTAATGGACTAGGATAACGCTGTCCTAATAGAGATTCAAACATTTAACATTATGTAACTAGAAACATATAAAGAACAATCATAACTGTAACATGATACACTTGTATATTGCCTTGTACAAGTCTTATAGTATGCAACATGATTGCTTAAGATAAATGAACATGAGCATATGGAGTTTACGTTTCCCAGTTGATTCCATATGTAAGAGCATGTTCTACAAAAGAAACAATTTCTAAAACGAGGCAAACTTTTGACAAATAAGTTGATGATACAATGATATCAACAATCTCGATTATAATCGAATGACATTGTTTGCAAATATAAATTATCGTTAAGCTGAATGTTGACTGACTTTTTCATACAAGTTGTAAGGCCATTATTATGGCATCTAATCCCACCTTTGATGGCTACAGAGGTCTGTGTTTGCTCCGATTTTGTATTGTTCCAGTGGACTTTTGAGCTTGATTACTGATCGTTTTCTTCATATTTCATTTTTGACTATTGAAACTTTACTGAATTTTAGGAGTTTTAACAACAGTGAGCTTTGTGTGTATGAATATTGCAATAAGGCTTATCAAAAACGACTTTAAGAAACATTCTCATTTTGATAAATCAGTCCACTGCCTATATAAATTGAACCCATATGGTGTTGCAGTCACACCTACTGGTCAAGACTTCAAAATGATTGATTTACAAAAAATAACAAACACCGTAAATTATGTTTTCTTTTAATGACCAAAATAAACGTCTTCAATAGAAAGGATTACTACAGCCACAATAGAGTCCTAGACAGCGGTACTTAGTGTACGGATAGGCGAAACATTGGTATCGACAACTCTCGTCGCTCCCATATAAACACACTAAAATACAACATATGACTTGTCAAAATTCGTTTTATAGTCATTTAAAACACCGAAGGTTATACTGATTTGTTATTTATTTTTTTACATTCATTTCGTTTGTTTAATATTCTTTTTTATTCATTTATTTGTGCAACATTTTAATTTTTTTCGAATAACATCATAACGTCAACCCAATATTTGTATATTATTACCTTTTCAAAATAAGCAACTAGAATTTTTAACTAAATTTAAACCATCAGAAGTGTATTGCATAAGTATCTTATTATCAATGATTCTTTCCTATAGATATCAAAATATATCAATAGAGTTGCATTTACAATATAATTTCATTACAGGTAGCTTTTTGCATTTAATTGAGTATGTTATGCAAATAACATAGCTTTTGTTTGCTATAGCAATATGTTTTGCATATCATGAAAGAACGTCGCATTTCGTTTAGTTATTTTACTTTATTTGAGCTACGTTATCTTTAATTACCATATAACATAACAAATATTCTTACTGTAATTTGTCAAACAGTAACAGGTTCCCTTCAAACATGTTGTTTTTTCCCATTTATGCAAAGGACATTGAAGGCAATCTGAAGTAGTCTCACACCTCTCTGCATTGACTGTATGTTATAAAACAGAATTTGCGAACAAAACTTAAGACTGATATGAATAAAATCTTTTTGAAATATATATATATATATATATATATATATATATATATATATATATATATATATATATATATATATATATATATATATATATATATATATATATATATATATATATATATATATATAAATATATATCCACTCAAAATACAAATTAAAGATGGTTCATACAATAGATTGATCCTTAGTGGGTCCAGCTTAAAAATCATATATGCAATTGATTATCAATTACACGTCGTTTTGATAGGTTTCAACACAAAAGCAATTGAATTTTGTGCTATCAAACAGAATTATCTTTTCTAAAAGTATTTAAGTATTTTCACATCGATTGACGAATCAGTAAAATAGGGATGGCAATCGAATATGGAATTGCTAATCGGTAAGCCACAAGACGTCCAGACCTATTAACCGGTTAATCGTATCAAAATACATGAACACATTTTTGACTCTTTTTTTTTTTTTTGAAGTGGCTCTATTCATATACACAAGAAGTCTAAAAAACGTTAGAAGTTAGAAACATTTTGTTTATTGTCTTGATCAGGAAACTACATGTAAACATATTTTATTTCAATTTTGATAGACAATAAAAATGAGAAATCCCTGAAACATGCCTGAGAAATCAGACATTGATAATATTTTACAGTATAGATGTCATACAAGTTTATACTGCATTGTCACTATTAGCAAAACTATATCTGAACTTTACCTTAATTTACAATGCTTGTCTAATAATATAATGTAATAGATAACGAAAAAAAAGATAGACATACCCATTCACAGTGCTCAAAGTTGATATATTTAATATCATTAAAGAATTAGAGGACGGTTTGGGTAACGAGATAATATTTTTAAAAACAATAATTACATCTACCGCTTTTAAGACCGACCAATTACCGTGCGATCTCAATCCGAAGAGCCACAGATACCTCAAAATCATCTTAAACAGATATGTGAAAATGCTAAATTATCAACTTTTATCAGAGGTTTCTTTTTAGAAATGTATTTTGAGAAAATTGTGTTAAATTTCAAATATATCTTATTTTTTCCGACTGACCTATCACCGATTTTTCTAACCTGATTATCATCGTTCCGACCGAGTAATCGATTAATCGGTTAGAAATTGCCATCCCTACAATAATTAAATAGTCTTACTCACCTGTAACTGAAGTAAGGAACAAAATGAGGAAAGTTAACTTTCCAGATTTTATCATGATTTCTCGTCTAATGTAGCCAACATGAACGATTGATTCACTTTATTTATGTGTTAAAAACGACACCCTGCAAAGTGGGCGTTTCTATGCTTATTAGTTTACACAAAATATCTGATACATGTATGTCATTGTAGCTCAAGAACCATGATTGATTTTTTAAAACATCATTTCAAATAATTGTAATTACAAATAGGTAAACAGAGGTACGGAAGATGGGCTTCAAATTATCCTTCTTTAACAAACTACCTAAAATTAAGAATAGTGGAAACAGTGTGACATAACAAAAATGTAGCTGTATAGTGGTTCAGACAAATGACAAGACTGCACTTGTGTGTCAAAAATAACCATCACTGACAAAATTTTCACATGCAGATGTTACATTTAAGTACATTTTGATTATAACAGATACTGTGAATGTAATATCATCATCTTGCCAACAACTGACAGCTACAGGACTTAATAAAAAGTTTTAGAGGGTCAAACCTTACACAACGCAATTGAATATATTAATAGGTCATAAATTACAGAACTAATGAAAAAAATGTCAGTAGGTCACAAGTTACAGAACTTATGAAAAGTGTTAGTAGATCACAAGTTACAGAACTAATTAAAAGTGTTAGTAGGTCACAAGTTACAGAACTAATTAAAAGTGTTAGTAGGTCATAAATTACAGAACTAATGAAAAAGTATTAGTAGGTTACAAGTTACAGAACTTATTAAACAAAACTTAAAATACTAATTACAGAACTAATAAAAAGTGTTAATAGTGACAAAATATAAGTAAATGTATTATCAAATAGCCATCATCACAAAATTGCAATGTTCAGGGGTATTTGTGACAAATATATCTTGTTTTAATAGGATTTATCTACGGATTTCTCTGGTAAACCGAATAAAACAAATTAAGGGTTTCTGGTTTAACGGTCGAATGGTAGCTCTAAATTGTATTATTATTTGGAAGATTGAGGTGCATCGCTGTTCAATTCTCTACATTTGATCTATGTTGATAGCTTTTGAACTAATTCTAAAGTACAAATTCCCCATTATCCATATTGATGTATGTATTATTTATTTTTTTTTTTTGTGAGAAATAAAAGGTCAGTTTCTTCTACAAAACCCATAATATAATGGCGTAGATCAATCGGAGCAGAATGCGTTTTGTTATTATTATCCGCACAGTTTCTAAAGCACGTTTTTGAACATTTTTGTTATCACAGTCCGTTTAAGTGTCTGGTTCACTATCACAGTCCCCTTAAGTGTCTGGTTCACTATCATTTCTTCAGAGGCCCCTTAACCAATTTTATCTTTTGGAATTGGGTTGATGTGTCCTGTCGATGTGCAATTACAGTACAAGGTTTCTGGGTTTTCATATTTATTCTGAAGGTCAATGCGTGTAGGAAAACATTTCTATATGAAAACAGTGGCTCCTGAAACTCAAACTACTGATCTAGTAGGAGCCAAAACAACATTTTTTTATATAAAAAATGACAAACAAACGTGACTCAGACGCTCTTTTGCATTTTACCCATAAATAGAGTGCAATTAGGTGCAGGAATTACTGTCTTATAACCTCGTTTAAAAATATTTTCAATAATTGTGACTTTTAGCAGAGACTTTTCCTGTTAAAGTCATTAAAGACTAAAGGTGTTTTTGTTTACCATATTATCACAGCTGTTTTAGGGACCTGAAATAGGACCTGAAATAGACAGCACTGCCCCAAATGCAGATCCTGTTATTTGATATAACCTTGAATTACGCATTCTATTTTTCATGTCTAGAATTACCCAATTACGAGTTCGTTGTTTAAAATTTCTCTTGCATTTTGCGAAGTCACATACTGAAATATGCCCATGGCCAACGGTGCTCACTCGAAAATTCTGTGCTTTTTTTTTTACAAGCAATTTACACGTTATATTAACCTTTTTTTGTCCGCACAGCTGATATAAAGGCAATTGTTTCAACAATATTTATTTCAAGAAACTCTGTACTCACGAATGAGTTTGAACAAATCTAAAACAAATCAGGATATTTTTATCTTGTTGTAATTGTTAAGTATTTTAAGTTTTAAAAAATCAAATCTTAAATTTCTAATTCGGAATGCATTTGACAAATTACTACGTAAATCACCCTTTTACCTCCTTAATTGCAATCAAAAAAGAACGATGAGATTACGCAGTATTGCATTCAAGGAAAATGAATAGATACTAGTACCTTTTCGTTAGAATTACTTCTTTTATTATCAACTTTAATTATCAACTTCATGTCATACAGCCATTGCTTTTACTGGTAACTAGAATATTGTGTATAGCTGTTTATCACTTTTAATGACAAGAAGCCTCTGAACCTAGCAATATGTGAGTGATTCTTTGCTTTCCCATTGACTCTCAGCGCGTATTCTCATTTTTTTTAAAAAAAGATTTTTCTTCTGATATTCACATTTTTTGATTATTTCCAGTAAGTGTGAATTTTCTCTATTCATTTTGTTCTTGGATATTTAAGACCTGAGTCTAGGGCAATAAAAATTTGACGAACTCACTTTAATCTCAGTCTCACTTTTACCAGAGGAACAGAGGAAAAGTGAGACTGAGATCAGAAGCTTTAAGTGAGCTCATAGTTTTATGGCCCCGGAGACTGTTGAAAAGAGTCTTATGACACAATAACTTAAAGTGTTTGGATTAAGAGGACATTTGTAGGTTAATAGGTTTATTATAAAGTCACTTCAAGGGTAAAATCAATACTACTTGAAAAGTTCAATGGCTGTAGGTCTCGGAGCCAAGATTGTAAAAGCTCACATAATCAGTTTCGGAGCTAAGGCGTTAAAAAGCTCACATAGTTCGTCTAGGAGATTAGATGTTAAAAAGCTATTGATACTCAGTGGGTACATCTTTCATATGAAAAGCTGCCTTATGGGGTAACGAATTGAGTGTCACTTCATTAATATTGATATAGTACGCCCCTCACTGAAGCTCTGCCTCTCATCTTCTTATAGGATAAGGCAAAGTCCTCTGTTAACATATTAACATAGTGTATCTTGCACAATCTTCAGTTAAATAGATGGTTGTAACTTTGCACAAAGTCTGATTGGAAAGTGTCGATGTTTGTGAACACTACATCGAAAAAACAAATTGTCCGTCAAATGAAGACGCTCTCCTTATTGTATATAATCTCCTAGAGTTTGTAAACAAGTTCATGATTAAGAGGGTATTGTCCGTCGCTCTACACACTGATAGTACCAATCAAAATTCATAACCCAATATTTAAAATATAAATTAATACACTATAAAATTAATAAATCAATTCAAATTATAATTTGAGCGCTCATTGTGTTACAATCTGTTTCGCGCATTCTCCATTTTAGACTGGTTTTGGCTGGTCAGCTCCTTAATCTGCATGCAGTTGTAGCCACCCCTTTGTTTTTGCTGAATATTGCTGTTTATCCTGAGAATGCTTTTATGAATATTCAAAGGTCACAATTATAACCCAGTCCTATCAATATCAGTTAGGTTCGATCACCGATTATTCAGTTTTTGTCTTATAATTATGAAAAGCATCTTAATGAAAAAGCTGAAGATAACGAACAGTGTCATCGACCTAAAAAAAAAAATCTACAACGATACAAGTTTGTAAATAAGGCATTAGAGTAATTAATTGCTTTCGAAGTGGATGAAAATATAACGATCTCAAATCATAAACTTTTCTTGTTTTCAAATCTGTACAGAATATAATTTATTATTGTATTAATGTATTATTTTTCCTTTTTAACACACTGCTTTAATATATATACATGTAGGCATATTCACAGCTGCTAGTCGAAATATTGCCTTTTTGTTGAAAAGTAAGTTCAAAATATGATATATTGATAGCTGAAACGGGTACTGGTATTTGAAAAAAAAAGCATTGAATAATAGGTAAGTTATTGATTACTGAGTAATCTGTGTAATTCCACCAAGAACTTGGTTTAAATTCTGGTATTCAAACTTACATGCATTCTCACAGCTAGGAATTTTTTTCAAATAATTGACCTTAAATACTTTTAGCATATATATATATATATATATACATATATATATATATATATATATATATATATATATATATATATATATATATATATATATATATATATATATATATATATATATATATATATTAGGGATGTCAACGAGTACCCGGTTAACCGGGTACTCGATCGAACGTCCGAGTATCGAATACTAAAAATGGTACTCGGTTACTCGGATGTATATTTTTCTTATTTCAAAGTATATATTTTTATCAAAACTTTATTAAAAAAATTACTTAAATAATGCATACGGTAAATAACGTGTCGTCGTCTACACGCGTTATCGCATGTGGCTGGGTATATACAGTAATTAGTGACCAATCACTCAGCTGTTCTCACCTATTGCGGTCCTTAATTTTTGGATGGCTTCAATGATTGTTTTCATAGTACATCATTTAAGTATGGTCTATTATCTTCAAATAAATTTTAAATTAGTTAGTTAATATACGGCAGCGAAATTAGACATGCATAGAAATGCCGTTTCCCACTTCCAAAGTTAAGAAATATTTAGAAATAACGAAAGATTTTTAAAAAAATGTTGAAAGTCAGTTTGCGTAGTAGGTTTAGTGTACACCGTGGAAACAACCAACATACGAAAAAAAGTATTAGACTAGCGATCCAAACAACGTCCTTCCTTCTCTTTCCCTAGTTTAATCACCACGAATCTGCATAACAGATTGTCCCCATTTTGCGTTGCTCAAATAGATCCTAAACAAGAACTGTAAACCATTTGTAATTTTTGATGCATAAATTGTGTCGTTTGTGTTCATTTGATAAATAAATTTAGTACCAAAAAATCATTTCCGTTGGAATCTATGTTAATATACGTTGATAAACGTGATAAAAACAGCTTTGGGGTTTGACAGAGCTTTATAACGTGGCTCAAGAAAATTAACACGCTTGTATTTACATTTTTACCGAGTACCCGGGTACTCGATCGGAAAAATGTTCGAGTAACCGATTATCAAAAATTGACCGAT